TTCCTTCCTTCCTTCCTTCCTTCCTTCCTTCCTTCCTTCCTTCCTTCTTTTCCCTTAATGACTGCATTCTAAAGGAATAGCACCTAAGTCTTTGACAGGGACATTGCTGAGATATAAGTCTTGGTGCAGGATGAAGATTTATATCTTAAAGGGAATAGAAAATAAGCACAAGCACAGTCTCCAAAGGTACATGCTTTGAAACACACAAAGGTCAGTCAGTCATGGTTTGGAAGAAAACTGTTTAAAATTTAGTTAAATTCAAAGGAAGGTCGATGGTGACCCCCTCACATGCCCACCTTTCTCATGCCATTATGACTAGGTTGAGTTTAAGCTCTGTCTCCAGGGAATAAGACATGACAAAATCTTAGTGAAAATGTTCTCGTGGGAAAGTAATTATTGATCTCATCAATGTTTTCCTGTTGTTTTTCAAGATCCATGAGTTGCTGTGCCTGGAATGGATGCATGACCCTCACTTGAGTAAGCAGCGAATGAATGCAAGGCCTCATTTCACTAAGTGATGAGTAGATGGATGGCCTCACTTGAACTTTAAGCCGTGAATGAATGCATGGCCTCCTTTCTTTAAGTGGTGAATGAATGCATGGCTTCATGCGTTTTAGGCAGAGAGTGAATGCATGACCTTACTTGAGAACTAAGCTGTGCTCTCGCCCATCTTGTGGCTTCTAAAGGGAAATGAAAAGCACCAGTGAGGCCTTTGCTGTGGGGTCTGTTAAGTGTGAGCAAGCAGCTGCCTTTCTCCAGGTTCTGTCTTACATATTCTGTCCCTGACTCTGCTGATCACCACACATTAAAGTTTTACCATAAGTTCCTGGAACTTCCTTCTTGCTTCAGGTATGTTTAACTATTTCTAGTTGAAGGTTCGGAGCATATAATATATTATGTTCTTGGGGAACTAAATCCCCCTTAAGGCACATTTTAAATTTTTATTGTATCTTTATTTTATATATATGCATGTGCACCATGTGCGTTCTTGACGCCACAGACAACTTCTAGAGAGCACGGGATAGACTGGATTGGGAGTTATAGAGGTTGTCAGCCACCATGTGTGCTCTGGGAACTGAACTTGGGTCCTCTGGAAAAGCAGCCTGTGTTCTTAACCACTGACCCATCTCTCCAGCCCTGCTTAAGACGTTTTAAGTGAAAATAACCATTAACCAGAGTATACAAGAAAGCAAGCTTTCATTTTATTTGACTCTCATCCCTAGTATACAGAACAAAGTGAGGACACCACCAGCTCCAGCTTTATATGGTAACTTTCAGGAATAACAAGTTTTCACAGCAAAACTCTGGGAAGCTGAGTAGCGAATAAGTGACTGAGTTCTGGTCAATGTCTGCCAGCTTTGCTGTGGAGCAACAAAATTAGGAAATAGCATACAATTAAATTGGCTTCTCACTTTGAGTTTTAGATATTTGATCTGTGTTGACTGTTTTCCCCCCTTGATGGACCTTGCTTAAATGCTAACCTAGTACAGTGGTAGTGTGCAAGAGTCATTCATAACGGCCTCGGTGAAACAGTGAAGAGCATGTCTTAGCCCCATGCTCTAATTACAGACTGAATAATGCTGTCTAGTGGTATAGCCAGAAACACTGAGTTCTAGCTAAAAGCAGAAAGTCACCTCACTCATGGGCTGGATTTCATGCTGGGAGCTTCAGTGATCTTAGAGGAGGCTGAGCCTGGAAACTTTGAAGGGGAGTTCAGTGTAGAGTTATGACTGACCTTTCTCAGCTTCAGTAATTAGTTCATTTGACAAGTCATACTCCATTAATAACAGTACAGATATACAAAAAAAATTTCACAAGCTAATTTTTATCCTTTTAAAAATATGTTTTAATTAATTCTTTGATATTTGTTTGTTTGCTTTTTGCTAGTTTGTTTTAGTTTTTGTTTGTTTGCTTGCTTTTTAGAAAGCTTTTCACTTTGTAGCCTTGGCTGGTCCAGAACTTGCTGTGTTGACAAGCTACTGGCTTTAAAATCAGGAGTCTGCCTGTCTCTGACCCCTGGATGTTTGGATTATTTTTTAGTTTATGTTAAAGACAATAGTTCCCTCCTTCCTTCCTTCCTTCCTTCCTTCCTTCCTTCCTTCCTTCCTTCCTCCCTCCCTCCCTCCCTCCCTCCCTTCCTTCCTTCCTTTTTTCTTCCTTCCTTCCTTCCTTCCTTCCTTCCTTCCTTCCTTCCTTCCTTCCTTCCTTCCTTTCTTTCTTTTTTTTTCCTTCAACATTTGTGTGTGTGTGTGTGTGTGTGTGTGTGTGTGTGTGTTGTTACGGATAAACTTGGCACCTCCTATACACTAAACAAACCAACTAAGACACATTTATTTAAGAAGAAATTCAGCCAGACATAGTGACATGTGCCTAGAACCCCACCTCTTTGGAAACGAAGGCAAGAGAGATAAAAATTTAAGGCCTATCTAGCTGTATAGTGAGAATCTGTCTGTATAAATCAGGGGCTGGGTTTACAGCCCACCTGTACTTACATACCTGCACAAGGTGTTGGGTTGGAGTCTCAGAACCACGATGTTTTTGGAAAGTAATTGAGGGCATGACTTCGAACTCACCTGAAGTTAATTCACTTAATTTACTTCTAAGTTTTTGGCAGTATGTTTTCATATATTTTAGGTTTCAAAGTTGAAAGCATGCATTCATAAAAGCTTATGGGCTTATCTATTCCTCAACACAAAAGTTTTTAGAATCATTGCTTCATTCATTTTTACTAAAATACACCTCTGCAAATAATATGCTGATATTTGCCTTTTCTCTCATGCAGCATTTTTTCTCTTTATAAAGATGAATGAAGCACCCATAACCCGTTCTAACCTAAATGTGAACTCCCAGCAGAAGTGCAAAGCAAAGAAGAATATTAAGAATACATTTAGCTCAAATGAATTGTCATTCATCGAGCAAAAATACCAAAAACGTCTTAAGAAGCACAAAAACATAGGAGACGACATCACTGCTGAAGGTGTGTTATTGTATTCAGCAAACACAGAGAGATTGTTGAAAATTAAGGTTATAGTTAAGGTTTGTTGTATACTAGGGAGATAAAAAAAGTGGCAGAAAGGTATTTCTTTCTTTCTTTCTTTTTTTCTTTCTTTCTTTCTTTTATTCTTTTTCTGAATCAAGTTAGAAACACACACATTAAAATGGAGTATCAGTTTAATCAAGATGATAAGAAAGGCCAAAAGGCCAATGCTACAATAATTTAAAGGGTCATCTAGATAGTTTAGATGTTTCATTGCCAAATTAAGAGTTGTTTTATCCTTGAAAAGAAAAATAAACTTTTGAGAAGTGAAAAAGGATGGGACTGAATTCCCTGGCTACCAGATTCTAGAAATTAAAGTGTGAAAAATTACTAACTATAGCTTTCTAGGGCACTGGGTTTTGGAATCTCACCCTGAGAATTTGGTTGGGTTGATGAGTTTCTGACCAGGGTGTGGCGCACAGGAAACTCTTTGAGATTTTTATTTCACCATATCCTGAAACAAACAAAAGGTGAATGTATGTTCTTCAGACTCGGAACCCAAAACAATGTGGATATCAGATAAAATAAAATCTTTGTTAAGGTTTCATGCAGTTAATAGAGTTATAGGTTATGCCTTATTTCTGGAATGCTTCTCTGATAATCACAGGCTTGCCTTAAATATCTGTAAGATCCAGGCTTAGATAGAGGAAGGGAGTTTAGGAATTGGCTGAGGCTAATTCATAGATTGCTAAATTTAAAAAAAAAAAAGACCTTGAGTGGCTAAGTGCTGGGAACCAGAATGCCACTTTCACCTTTAGTCCTATCCTACTTTTTGAAAGACAGGGATATTCCCAGTGAGGAACACCATTAAAGTGGAGAGAGTTAAAAAAATGAAGTAAAATTTCCATAGGAATTCAGGTAGTCTGAAAACTCATCCCCAAATGAAAAGAAAACAAAAACCCATTGCATAAGCCTTTGGCACTTGCCTCTATAGAATGTTCACCTAGAGTATGTTGATCTTCATTTATTTCTTCTAATGGGAGATTTTGTCTAGTCAGTGGTGAGCATTTGGAACAGAATATTAGCAGCAAAGCAAGAGGAAACAAAAAAAAATTAAATAGATGAGAGATTCTGACTAAGGTGAAGTTTGGGTCTATCATGACTTGGCCCCAGGCTGTTTGCCAGCAGAGAGAAGGTAGAAGCCGTTCAGCTGACCAGTGCAAACCAGGCACATGCACTGAAAAACACTCCGTTACTAAGTCTCATCCTTCTGTGACACTCTCTCTAAACCTTGATAAATGTTCACTGAATTAAAGACAAGAGTCAGAAATTATGGAAGGAGAAGGACTCATCAAATGATGGCCATTTGACTTTCTAATTCAGAATGCAGTCACCTGTACAGGGTTGAATTCAGAGCTAAACCAATCTTTTCAAATTGTTTTTTTAAATTTATTTTTTTATTTTTAGCTCCCCCACCACACACACCCTCTTCACCCCAAAGAGGGTGGTAGAGAGTAGGGTTTGGAGACCAAAGATAGAAATTATAAGCTCAGTTCTATTAATTGATTACTTTAACCAAAAAAGTTACTAAAAAAAAAAAAAAAGATTCTACTTCAGTTCCTGTATTGTACAAATTCTGAATTATTCCCTGATGTTTTGGTTTATCTTTCCCCCCTGTGGTATTTGCATTTTCTACATGGAATATTAAACTAGTTCCACTGAACATTCCAGATACATTTGTTTGCCATGTGATGTTTAGTAAGTAAATATATTTATGTTGTTCAGGCTTTTTTTTTCCCCCCTAAAGTGCCACTGTTTGCTTTAAACCTTGGGTGAAAATATTTAACAGGCTTGCTATGAGAATCAGAAGTATTTGGAATCAGAATTCACTGGATGCTTTGCTGATGAAAGCAACCCATTGGATAACCCTGTCTGTCCCTTCTACCAGCTGCTTTTAATTCTACTCTTTGGTTTCTCCTTCACAGAGAATTTCTCACCTTCTCCATGGAGGCTCATCTCTAGTGTGCTTGGTGTCATATGCCTTCTCCTGATGGCTGCAACCATCGTGGTGACCATTTTTACTACAAATCGTGAGTGACCCTAGTGTTTCTCTCTGTCCTCCTCTGGGGAAGGCCCGCAGTAACTTATCAAAATTCCTCCCTGGCTGTGAGCACAACTATGTGCACATTGGACTGAATCTCCAGTACCATCACCAGAAAACAACAACAATAAAAACCTCTTCCTTTTTAAACATTGTCTCTAAAATTGATTATTTGTTATTGTAGAACAGAGAAGCTCTTGTTAATTCTGTTGATGTGTCCACATAAAAGAACTAATTGTGATGTGGACTATTTTTGTAGCATCTTCTGAAAGAACATCTTCCACCATCCAGCAAAAAGGTAAGGTGCTGATATCCTAACCTTTGCGCACAGATCCATTCGGGAAAACACTTTTCTTGCTTGCATTGCTTCTGTGAGTAGCTGACATAGTCTTCACAGGCAAGACGCTTCGGCAGAACCAAGAACATGACGTGGTCCCAGACCTTTCACAGCTCTCATTAATAGGGGGCAGAGGTTTTTGTGTAACCAACTGCAGCATAATGCAGAAGCTCTGTTGGCATTATTACATGCCTCTGTACAGAGCTTGGACATTCTTGTGAGATTCTGTCGCTCTATATGGAAACAGGATTAACTTGAGAACAAATTTGGAAGGGCAACTTTTCAACAACAACAACAACAAAAATGAACCTAATGGTGTAAAGGAGTGTTCTCACTCTGACTTCAGAAGCCTGATGGCTCAGCAGTGAGGATGGACCAGTCTCAGCCGATGTGTGCGCTATGAAATAGAAACGGTCTTAAAGTTCAGATAAAAATAAAACCAGAAGCATGTGTTTCCAGCTCATAGTTTTATTATAATTACTTCAGCTGTTTTTATAGAATATTGTTACCGTACCCTAAGCGTGCAAGCTCCTTGTTTGAAGAAAAAAAAAAATGAAAAGCAAAGTCAGAGTTTGTGAAACTCCTCAGCAGAGTGACAGACACTCCTTCTCTAGGACCTCATCATCCCTGTCCGGAGGACTGGGTCTGGTTCAGATGCAGCTGTTATTACTTCTCCAAGGAAAATCTAAGTTGGAGAGAGAGTCAGCGTGCCTGCTTGTCTCTCAATTCCAGTCTCCTACGGATGGAGAGAGAGGAGATGGTAAGCTACTGCCACTGTGAGTCACAAGGCAGGAGGGCCCCGAAGGGATTAACTCTGGTTAAACTGAATGCCACTTACATTCGCTTAAGCAGAGCACTAGATCAGTGGTTGAAGAATAAAACTGTTTTCCATTTTGTTTCAGTCTTTATGTGAAAAATATAGGGTAAATGTGTGTATCGTATGAGAAAGAGAGAAATAGTGAAATAATATTTGCAATTAAAGTCATGAAACAAAACAAAACAAAACACCACTGAACCTGGGGTTGGTGGTACAGGCCTGTAATCCCATCTCTTTGGCAACCCAAGGCTAGAGAATCACAAGTTCAAGTCCTGTCTAGGCAACAGAGTGAGTCCAAGGCAAGCCTTGGCGACTTAACAAGGCCCTTTCTAAAAAAAAAATATAGGGGGTTGAAGAATGTAGCTCACTGGTAAAACATTTGTCCCACATGTCCTACAGTCCTCAGCAGTACCAGTAGATAGATAGATAGATAGATAGATAGATAGATAGATAGATACATAGACAGACAGATAAATGCATGTAATGAATTCAGAAGGAAAACACTTGCTTTCAGTAACAGCTCAGCTGGAGAGAAAAGTAAAACAAACCTAGACAGAACAACCCTGCCTAGTCCCACATGAAGATGGCACAGTCTCTTGGTCTAGAAGACCAAGTGACAATGTGAGGAAATCTTTTATAACTCCAGCAGTTATGTCAGAATAAAGTTAGTGTACTATGTGTTTCCCCAATAGAGTCTGTTTATTATATGCCTCAGGGTGCCACAGTAAAGTTAGCATTCAAGAAACTTGTGAAGATTCTTTTAAAATAAACCTCATTCTTGTCTCAAACTCAACACTATCTTTTTGTTGTTGTTGTTACACAATCCTTTTCCTTTAAAAATAAATTAATTATTATTTTTTATTCATTTTACATCCTGATTGTAGCCCTATCCCTTTTCCCTTCCCAGGTCCGCCCTCCCTCTTTCCCCCTTGCCTCTTCCTCAGAATAGGGGAGCTCCCTTTCCCATCCACCCCAGCTCATCAAGTTGCATCAGGACTGAGAATGTCCTCTTCCCCTGTGGTCTGGTAAGGCAGGCCTGCCAGGAGGAAGTGATCAAAAAGCTGGCAAGTGAGTCCACGTCAGATACACTCTCCACTTCCCTTACAAGAGGACCCACATGAAGCCCAAGCTGTCCATCTGCTATATCCCTGGGGCCTCAGTCCAGTTCAGTCTCAGCAAGCTCCTCCGGGCCCTGGTTAGTTGGCTGTTAGTCTTCTTGTGGTACTCCTGTCACCTCCAGATTCTTTTCTCTTTCCTCCCACTTTTCCACAATGCTAAGTATCATCCAATGTTTGGCTGTGAGTCTCAGTATCTGTTTTGAGGCGCTGCTGGGTAGAGCCTCTCAGAGGACAACTCTGTCAGGCTCCTGTCTGCAAGCTTAGCAGAGTACCATTTATAATGTCAGGGGTTGGCTCTCTTCCCCAGGTCCAAGAGCGCTTTGTTCCATCAACCAGACAATGGATCATGCCTTCTTTTCCCAAGGGCAGCGTCTGGGCCCAAGGAAGCACCCCAACCCCAATCCAGGGTTCTTCTGGTTCCCGTGTAGAGACCAGCTGGACAAGATAAATTTACAGGGTCCTAGTCCCGAGATGGCAAAGCCAAACCAAATCTGGGTACCAGGAGCTCAGAGCCTGCTGGGCCAGCAAGTGGCTACATGGCTGAATCTGAATCCATAAAATCAGCACCCGTTTGCCCGTTTGTTGTGATGGCTGACCCCCACAGCACCAATGGCCACTTGTAATCAGCCTGCTCTGCCTGACCCATCTGGAGCACAGTCAGCAGGGAGGGGACTGAGCCTGGCAGAGGAACATTCAGATTAGAGTCCACTCCCTGCTCTACCTGGGCCAACTGGGACAAGGCCAGCGGAGAGAGCTGTGCTCAGGCTCCGACCCGCATCCTCGGTCATGCCTAAGAGGCCAGTGTGGGGCCCCGTGCAACATTCAACGTTGAGGCCTTTCAACACTATCTTTTCACTCATGTTATTTGCGTATTTTCCAAATCTCCCAGGAGAGCAGAAAGTTTGTGCTTTCCATTGTTAAGGCATGTCTTGCAATCATTTGGCGAGGCTGCAGAGAGAGTTGATTTTCCAGAGGCACTCCCATAGCGCCGAGGAAAAGATAATGATGGGAACTGTCTGCATTTGTGTTTTCTCACTTTCAGGATTTCTTCACTTTGAAATCCTTCTTCTGGGTTGGCGTTTACTACAACGAGACCAACGAACAGTGGCTGTGGGAAAACCATTCGGTTCTACCCTCTGAGATGTAAGTATTCACAAAGCATCAGGTGCTTAATTACGGCACGAATGAAGGGTTCTGGGTACAATTTAAGCACCATGGGAGAGCTGCGGGAGCAGTCTTTTGTGCCCATTCCACGTGCGGAAGAGCAGACCGCATCTCTTCACCCACTCTCCCCTCAGCATTCTCTTATGAACTTCCACAGCAAACTGGAATAAACTGCGCAGCATAGACAAAAGGCTTTTCTTCTATTCTTTTTCTTCTCTTTTTTTCTCAGCTAGAAGTCTGAGCTTAGGACAGTTTCCTCTGAAGCCCAGCTTAGCTTAGAGCCAGCCTCCCCCACCCCCACCTCTGTCCTTATACTAATTGTTCTTCCGAAGATACCAAGATGCACCTGGACATTTTAACTGACTCACCTAGTGATTCCATCTCCAGACAGATTCCGAACACTGGATTTGGAGTGGCCTAGTGAACTCCCTGCCCTCTTACTCCTCCAGTTTCACATGTCTCTCATTTCAAAAATATTCACACACTGTTCCGAATGCACCAAAGGCATTCAACCTTCCCCAGCACCAATTTTTAGTCGACTTGAGATCTGACTCACCCTGAGGCTGACCTTTCGCCCAGCTGTGAATCTCTGGATCCAAACATGATTTGTCTGTGAGATTTGAAAATAGGACAAGCACATAGTAGGTTTTCCTCATCCTGAGCTGAAGAAGCAGAAACAAACACATGCTGAGGCTCAAGCAAACTTGGAACTTTTGTGGAGGCAAAGCTCGCTGTTTTTCTGTTTTGTTTTGTTTTTTTTTTTTTTTTTTTTACTTTAACAACTGCTTTTATTCCCTACTTAATTTTTAAAACACTGCAGGAGGTGAATAATAAAACAAAACCAATAGCAAAACAGTGTTTATAGTCCTCTGTCCACATGGCCCTTCATAAAAAGTACCAGCAGAGGGGGGATGTTCCTAGAGCTGACCCTGAACACAGACCCTATGTGAATGAAAATTATTGTCACACACTTGTCTTGAAACCCTCTTTCCTGATTTGGAATCACCCACTATCTCACAGGTTTCAACAGTCTCTTTCACTTTTTCCCTAACACTGGCCCCCTTCCCCAAAAAGCTTTCCCAGCAGAGAAAAGAGGGACACATTCAGGAAATGATGCCTTTAGCCAGAGGATCAAGCCACTCCTATTTATCTAAGGGTGAGTTAGCAGCACCTTCCTTTAGCATAAATTCTTTAATTCTAAGTCTCAAGAACAACCTCCTCAGTTCAGTGTTCTGCCCCCTAGCCTGTCAGGCTAATGACTTCATTATGTAAGATCTTATGTAGCCTTTAGTATGTCATTGATGTCCTCTTGGTCTCTAATATTCCACTCACTATGAGACTAAACACTTGCCTAAATGTATATTTATATCACTGGAAAATTTTAATTAGGTGAGTTAGTCATAGTTGATTTTGCTCTGTTTTTTTTTAATTCATTTTTTATTGTAGTGTCATTGATCTGGCCTTGATCTTGTCAACATCATGTTCCTCCATTAAGCTGCACCTCTCAGCCCTACTCACAGTCTCTATCTTCCTTGACAACCGATTGATATCCCTTGCCCTTAGACTCTTTCTTCTTAGTTGAAATATTGATATTTACAGTTGAATACTTATTTAATAATTCTGTGGTTTACTAACATTTTACTGATATGAATTATGGGTTACAGAAATCCTACAGATTGGGTTTTTAAAGTTGATATACCAGGTAACAATTCTTCATTCTCTTAGGGACTTGAATGCTTTATAATTTCTTGATAACAGTGGAATTTGTTTCATTTTAGGGTTTATGGTCTTCAAATTTATATGAATTACTCCTGTGCATCTTATAAATTAAAAGGAGCTTATTTGGCTGAAAACTGTGCAACTAAACTGCCATATGTTTGCAAGAAGTATCATTTTTAATCTTATATGTTCACAAAAGATACGAAAATTAAACTTTTCTTCTTTAACTTTCTTCTTGGGTGCTTATTTTATGAAGAAAATGTTGCAAATGTTTGCCTTTGCTTAAATAAAACTGTATTCAAATATGTTCTAGTCTCATTCCTTGTCAATGTTTATGCTAATATATTTATTGCATGCATTTTAGAATATACTGTCATAAATGATTTCTGAATGAAATAGTGAGTTAAAGTAGGTGAATTCAGGTTAAACCATTGGATATTTAAAAGTTTGGGCTATGTAAAGTAACACTCTTGTTTCTTCTTAGCATACAGAATGTGTGTGTGTGTGTGTGTGTGTGTGTGTATGTGTGTGTGCTCTACAATGTGTCAAAATGTATTACTACGTGAAAACAGACATATTATAGTAAAATCATGAGTAATCGGACCACCCAAGAGTTGTAGTGACTTTGAAAGTTTTGAAATTAGTTATCAGCTTGATTTCAATACACTTGTCCAACTCATTGTACAATGTAGTCTTCCTGACAGAACTAACTGAGGACAGAGGTCTGTCATGTTTTCATGTAAAATATTTTGATTTAAAAATTGAAATTGCAAAATTATCATTGTGTCTTAATAATAGTTAAAAATACTAGAACGAAAGAGTTATTAGGTATTTACTTTAATTCAGCCAATTTAGATACTTTAATGGCTTATACAAGATGAAGGACAACTTGCACACTTTGTTTTTATAACATTTTGCTCTTTGTCTCACTATCATAAATGTGTCCATCTCTTCTCCCACTATTGGTTCATCAACACATCTTAAATTTTATGCATTCCAGAATAATTTCTTTATATTAACACAATTCCCTTGTAGTCTTCCAGCCTTCTTACCAATGACTAGTTTTGTTACCTGTTTGCAATTCTTTCTTTGAAGTAATATTTATATATTACGAAATCTATAAATCTTAATATAATACTTCACAAATGTGGAAACTACTGAGCAAATACAGAGTATTATGATATGCTGGGAAGTTCTTTAAACATGTTTCAGTAAATCCCTACCACTTTCCAGGGCCACTTGCTACTCTGTTTCTTTGCAGTAGCTCAGCTTTTCTTTTGCTTTGTTAAAAAACTTGATAGGCATAGTGTGTAGAAAGCATGTTTCCTTAAGGTAATATTTTGAGACATGTTGTTGATAATGTGTGTGGAATGCATATCCAGGCAGAGAGTGATGGCAACTGTTTTTCTTTTCCTCAGCTTTATTTTCTGTGTCTTGAGTGGCTATGGCAGTTCTACCTTTAGGTCAGTGTTTTTTTTTATTAATTTATTTTTTATTAATTACAGCTTTTTCACTTTGTATCCCAGCTGTATCCCCCTCCCTCGTCCCCTGTCCCTTCCCAATCCCACCCTTCCTCCTTCATCTCCTCTTATGTCCCTCCCCAAGTCCACTGATAGGGGAGGACTTCTCCTTTCTTCTGATCCTAGTCTATCAGGTCTCATCAGGACTGTCTGCATTGTCTTCCTCTGTGGCCTGGTAAGGCTGCTACCCCCTCAGGGGGAGGTGATCAAAGAGCCAGCCACTGAGTTCAGTATTTCTAAACATCATGTTTTCATCTCTTGCATCTGAAAAATTGGAGCCCTAAATCAGCTTTTGCCCCAATAACTTTAAGTAAATAACTTTACATTTATACTTGTACAATATACTTTACTAACTTGGAGTTCTACTTCCTTAAAGAGGCAGTGAAGGAGAATTATGTGTAAAAAAAAACAAAAAAATCACTGTTTATATTTTAGCCTGATTTCACTTTATTTCCTTACTTTGTTGGCAAAACTGTGCCTCTATTTTGCTATGATTCTTGTAATCCTGGATTAGGACACTGTTTCCATATTGAAAACATACTTAATCTTATTGGCATACCATATATGCATATAGCACTTTAGTGTACTCATACTATAGAAATTTATTGTCAAACAATAATGAAATAATGAAATACTGTAGTGTTAAAAACTAAACTAAACTAAAATAAAATAAAAAACTACTTGCAAAATAAGTTCTTTATCTAAAATTGTGTTCGTACTAAATTATCACAAAGTGACATACCCAAGTGGATGACTGCTAAACATGGGTGACAATACGCTACATTATAAATTATTATAATTTAAGCATCATTGCCAGGTGTCAGCTTTCTTTTCATCTGACTTGAACAGTTTCTATAAAACTCTGTTATGACATTTTCCTGTTCCAATCCTGGCGACAATAGTTAAATGAGAACTCAGAGGAAGGAGGTAAAGAATTTTCCTCACCGAGAGTTCAATATTTCCCTAATTAAAAAAAAACAAAAACAAAAACCAAAACATTAGCAACATGACAAATTACTTCAGAGCATTAAACCGTTTTTACACCATTGGGGTTGTCTGTGATACCAGGATCTATGACGAGAATCACAATCACATTGTGTGTGGAATTCTTTCAAACCTTTCTCCAGCCTGTGCCTGTTCATTATTTCCACAGGTGATTCTGCCTCTGAATCTTCTAGTAAAAGCCAGTTAAAGAATCCCACGGTGACTGGTGTTTACAGTCCACTCAATGTTTCGTGTTCATTGGGTTATGTTTGCAGTTGACACTTTTTTTTTAGCCTTCCTTTTATAAGGTAAATATTGTCATGGGCTCAAATGTTGTTTCCTGTGGCCACACTTTGCTAGAATCTTATCAGTATTGCAGTTACGGTGATAATGATCAACCATAGCCACTTGCAAAGCTCACTTAGAGTCTCTCCTTTCTTCCCTACTGTGTCTTCTGCTACACGGTCAGTATCAATGCTTGGACTCCAATAGCTTTGCAGTAGCCTCTTTAGATTAGAGCATTCCACCTGCCAATCACCCCCTACTTCTCTCCTGGACCAAATGGTCACACCTAGGCTTGGGTAGGCATGAATTATTGTTTCAGGTTCTTTGTGGTCTTTTGTGGTTGGAAGTATTCAGCAGTGGCCTTTTAATGCTCATGGACTGCACTGAACTGTTGGCTGAAGTCAAACCCAAACAGTGGCTGGGCTCCTATCACAATCCAGAGAGATCCTTAAGACAGTGTTTGCTCCTCTTGCAGAGGACCCGAGCTCTCTCAGTTCCTAGCACCTGAGCCTGGTGGCTCAAAATGGCTGTAATCCCAGCTCCAGGGAAATCTTACACCTCTAGCCTTTGCAAACTGCTTTTATGTACACATACCCCGACTCCATGCACACGCACACACACACACACACACACACACACACGCACGCACGCACGCACGCATGCACACACACACACACACACACACACACACACATACACACATGCACACACATCTAGTTTAAAAAATAATAAAAAATAAATCCCTTTGAAGAGTCAATCTCCAAACTCACTATACCCAGTGATTAATGACCATTGTCCTGAACCAAGCATGCTATAGCTCATGACTAATCTCAGCACTGGGGAAGTTGACACAGGGGAATTACCTCAATTTCATGCTAGCCGGGCCTTCATAGTGAGCTTCAGGAAAGCCTGAGGTACAGCGAAGCCCTATCTAAATAACAAAGAAACATGTAAAATGACATGCAATCTCCAAGTGAAGAAAGTTCAGTCTCCCAAGGCTGGATGCTGAGTTTTTCAAAAGCTCTCTGATTTTTAGTCTTCTGTCTGTGTACTGATACTCCATGGAAGTGCTTGAGCTTTAGATGCCAAGAACTGACCAATCTGTTAACCTTGATGTGGTATTTCAGAATGAAGGCCCAAAGTTCCACCAAACTCACCACAGTTAAACTATGTTCAGCTACCCAGGAGGTGAGAAGCCATAGCTGCAGCTTTTTCAGGAAGTTCTCACATTTGCTTAGAGGTCGCCTGTGGTGGATTAACATAATATTTAGAGAGAGTGTACCTTAGGGACTGAAATTACAAAATAAGTTGTATATGTTTTTCTACTCTGGCTTTATAAATATCTTTATACCCTAAACAACCAGGGAGAATGTGATTATTTTGTCTGTTGTCATTACGTCATATTAATCTGGACACTTCTGTGAAGACATCACTCTTAGGTAAAACAGTCATCTAGACAGGGTAGTGCTTAGAAGGAACTCCAATGTTCCACACTGTCATGACATCACTTCTCCTCCTCCAGGGTGAGTAAACTGTGACTGAACAAGGTGGAGGTCGCTGCTTTGAGTTTATTTGTCTTCTTAGCTATTCATGAGAAGTGGCTCTTTTGCTAATTTCAATTCAATGTGAATACAGAAAGTGGTAGTATATTCTGCAAAGTCTCTCATCAATATCCATGAATAAATCTGAAAACTGAGTTGAAACTGCAAAAAGATGTTATTGCATTTTATTTTAAAGACAGGCTCAAGCCAAATTATAACTGCAAACTTACCAGACAGCCAAGCCAAAACATGCTATTGAATTAGAATGGCAAGTGTTTCTACTCTATCAAATATTTCCTTGCCTGGATGGGAGTTACTAGATGGATATTTTAAGGGACTTTAAAGAAGTGCAAAAAAAGCTCATAAAAGAGCAGGCTTAGTATATTCATAGATGAATGACAGAAGGAACTTGCTGCTTAATTGAAATAATATCAGAATCTTAAACTCCAGGAAGAATGTTCAGAGACAGGAGGAATTATTTCTTGCTGGGTATATTTTTTTAATTTTATTTTTTTCTTATCAGTTACATTTTATTAACTCTGTATCCCAGCTGTATCCCGCTCCTTCATTCCCTTCCAATCCCACCCTCCCTCCCTCATCTCCACCCTGCCCCTTTCCAAGTCCACTGATGGGGGGGGGACCTCCTCCCCATTCATCTGATCCTGTTTTATCAGGTATCTTCAGGACTGGCTGCAAAGCTCTCCTCTGTGGCCTAACAGAACTGCTCCTCCCTTAGGGGGTGGGGAGGCCAAAGAGCCAGCCATTGAGTTCCTGTTAGAAATAGTCCTTGTTCCCCTCACTATGGGAAACCAATTGGTTACTGAGCTACCACGGGCTACATCTGAGCAGAGGTTCTAGGTTATATTCATACATGGTCCTTGGTCGAATGTCAGTCTCAGAAAAGACCCTGTGCCCAGATATATTTGGTCCTTGTGGAGCTCCTATCCTTTCCCCATTATACTAACACCCCTTCTTTCATATGATTCCCTGTACTCTGCCAAAGGTTTGGTCATGAGTCTTTGTATCTGCTTTGAAAACACTGCTAGTTAGAGTCTTTCAGATGCCCTCAGTAGACTCCTGTCATACGTTCAATGCACATCCCATCTGTCTTTCTAAACGAGGTTGCTGGGTATATTTTTATGATTCTCTTTACATACAGATACTACTGAGGATGAAAATTTTCCATCAGTAAAATAGTGGAATGTCAAAATACTTCAATAAGAGATACATACACTCATATACAAATGAATATATATAGACATATATAGACATATCCACAGACATGCACATGTATATTGAAATGAGACATACAAGTCAAACTCTAAAATTGGCATATAATGCATTAAATCTCCTCCAGTGAACTAGACCATTCAAACAAAAATTGCTAAACATTGGTAAATTTTTTTTTAAATCCAGCCTTTCTGTAAATAAAATCATACTTCAGATTAACTATTTAGTGATAATTATTTTCTATAATGCAAACAAATAATTATATGGTTATGATTACAACAATTTATTTCCTAAACTATGTGTTTTGTACATGTGAGCACACACCAGCATACCCTTGAGATGATTGTTGCTATGTGTTCTGTTGTGAGTGAATCTCCAGGGCTGAAGATGAGACCCACAATCACGACATTCAAGAGTTTCTGGTCCATTGACCACAGGAAGTGTCTACTTAGCCCACTTGGGTACAGAGCAGATAGAAAGAAAGGAGTTTATGGACGACTTGTATGTAGACACGTGTAAGCTTGCATTGTTTTGTTCCAGGTAAGTGCCTTTTAAAATCAGGCAAACTAAACTATGGTATTAGTAGCCAGAACGTGATGTTAAAATACAGAAAGAGAAAGAGGGAAATGACTTAGAAGGATAAATAGATAGTGAATTCTGAAAATGTTTTGTGTCTTGGTTTATAAGCAAAAAGAGAGAAAAATTTAGAAAAAAAGATTATGATTCAATAACATTTATGATAATAAAAATGGATAATATATTTTAAAAGATATTTCTGTAAAAATAAAATGGGCTTACTCATGAGCAAAACACATTTATTCAACTTTCTTGCTATTTTCTGTTTCAATATACTTGTATGTAAATATTTTAGTTGCAACTGGCTTTGAACTCTTGATTTTTCCCCTCTGCTTACCATGTACTTGGATAACAGATGTGTGCCATTGTGTCTGAGTGTTTCTGTAAGTTCCGAGAAACTCAACATTCCACATTTTCTTGCCTTAAGGACAATGCTGCTGAACGGTGTCAAACCTGATATGTGTCCATAAAGGCCAGCCTGATGATAATCAGTCAGCACTGTGGGCTGCCATGTACGGGAGCATCAAGGCTTCCAGAAGTTTTAAGAAAAAAGTGAAGGACACACACACACACACACACACACACACACACACACGCTGTGTTTGTGTCAGAGTTTATCAGGTGTTCAGCGAGGTGACTGGGGCAAATAAGCTCTGTGTTGAGTGGAGACATTGGGGGGATACCATGGTGTAAAAACAATTTAGTTATCTGTGTACTAAATGGGAGCAAAATAAAATAGAGCTAGTACTTCAGAAAGAATCAAAGGTAAAGTTAAAAATGTGTGTGGGAGAGAGGGAGAGGGAGAAAAAGAGAAACAGGGGAGGAGAGAAGAGAGAGAGAGAGAGAGAGAGAGAGAGAGAGAGCACAACAATAGTGAATACTGCTTTTATTCTTTCTGGGTTTTGCCTACTGTGGATAGGTTCAGGGTTCAGAAACCAGAACAAAACATCCATATTCCAGTCTGTACTAAAGATGAGAAATGTCAACCCAGGAAGTGCAATCCAACCCAGCGAGGCACTTGGTTTGAGATAAATGCCATGTGTGCTTTGGAAAAATATTAGTTATCAAACTTAAGTCATTGTTATTGTGCCTCAGTTTCCCCACTATTCCATTTGGTATCTTATTTATTAAGTCATCAAAAACAAAAATTTTGGCGCATAATATGTGCTTTAAAATTTGTTTAACACAAAGTAAGTGTTTGTTACTATAAAGGTGGAAATTCTGTGTGGGATTTTATAATATAAAGTGAATTTACCATTGATTTGTACATCTTATTCTTATTTTCTAAACAGTTTTTAGAGCCAACTTTGATGTGCACACATTGAAAACAATCACCCTTCAATCTTTGCTCTAGTGTTTTGTAACAAAACTATAGAGAGAATTTCCTGTCTTGTGGTTCCTGGGTCTTGTTAGAAGCTTGAGGTCTTACTTTTTCTCATTCCTGCTGTGCGTCTGTGTATCACCAACAGAAAATTCAATATCATCACTGCAACACTCAATGTTCTTTCCTCTTTTAGTGCTTTACATCTCCTCCTTAGCTTCCTGCTCAGCTCTGTGATCCACATCATTCTTTAAAAAGCACAAACACATCTCTGCACCATCTTTGGAGCATCACTCCTCATGGCAGGTACGTATGCCTCTTTCAGAAGATGAAATAGTCATGATAAGATAATAAATAGAAAGGACACTTCATTGATTAACTAATTTCAGGGCAGGTTTAAAAAAACAAAACAGAAAGTACATAATCAGCAGAGAATATTTTTAGACTTTCCATGCTTTAATGCTTTCTGCGTTCATTGTTTTCTTGATTCTTAGTTTTGAAACTTGAATGTGACTTTGTGAAGCAAATCCTTTTATATACCTTTTTCTAACGGAGTTAGGGAGTGGTTTCTGTCAGGCATAATGTTATGTTCAGAATGAAACTGAAACTAAATTGATTAACTCATTGGCACCATGGAATAAAAAATGCCAAATATTAAGGATACTTACACATTTATAAATTTGTATTCTGTGTTATGGCCTCTCAAAATCACCAAGGTTCACTAACACCTTGTACTGTTGTTAGTGGCAGAACTATTTTTGATAATATTGTGTTATTAACAGGTAATCTTTCAATATTAAAATATCTCAGCCAATAAGAAAGTGACTTTGAATAAGACCTAACATAATGTTGAGAAAACAGAGAGTCAAAGGTTGGTTTTGTATCAAATTTCAAGGTTCTGTGAACTGAACTCAGATCTTTGATCCATACTCGGGGTGTAACCTTCCACCACACCAGTTCTAGAAGGTTCCTCTCTTCTTTTCTGCAAACCTCTACAAGCCACTAGTCAAAGCATGGTCTGTGCTCAGACTGTGAGAGAACATACGGCATGATGGTATTCTCCCAACAACGATGGGCTATGACAAATGACAGACTCTAAATCCTGACAGTAATCTGTTTGATTTCTGCCAGGCGTTTACAAGCTTTGTACTTAAGAAAATAGCATTGTGATTAATTCTTTGTTCTAATTATCTCTCTAATGCATATCTTTTATCTGTGACGTTGTTGAGAGAGAAATGTATCAAGCAAACCCACCAAACACCATGACTATTTCTTGATCTATTCTTTCTGTTTCACTGATGACGTGAGGAGTCAGCAGTAAGTGATTCTAATGAGTCAGAAAATATGTATGAATAACCTCATCAAAGAATAAGGTACACCACATCAAAGCTTGCTAATGGGTGGGGTTCTGAAGGAATAGCTTCATTCTCCAGGGTTTTACTGGAAAAATTTGCCATGACAGGAAGAAGTCTTTGGGTTCATTCTTATTGGTTTCTGTTCTTAAGAATGTCATTTTCTATATTCGTACTTTAATCTGTTAGTCATTAATCTGTCTGATATTTTTCTATAGTTTCTAGGATCACTCGGTGGAGGTTGATGTCTGTGATCTTTGGAATAAAATGTCTTTTTTTGATGGTTACTTTGGGAGTTTTGATGAAAAAGTGTAAGTGTTTCTAGGAAAGTCTATAAAAGAATCAACATTGTTATGAGATAATTTAATAATGAACATTTAATTTTCTAATGTATAATATTTTATTTTATAAATACATGTCAAACTAAGCAAACCTTTAATAACTTCTTACAGCATTTACTATACAGAGCATTCAATCAACACCTTCTCCAACCCCCATTTTAGAACTACAAGAAGGTAGGTTCCGTTTTTTTTTTTTTTCTACACACTTTATGACTCAGAAAGGATAAAATAGAAGGGATCATTTTTCATGTATGGTAACATGGTTTCACTCAGGAAAATGATCTCATTTTATTGTTCTTTAGCAAATAAACAAACAAATAAATTACATCGACTTGTGGATGTTAGCCAGTTTAAGAAATACTGTAAGTAAACACTGCATTGAGCAAAGGTTTACTTTTTCCTCATAGTTTCAGAAGATTTGGTCTGTCATCATTTGGGCCTGTCATTCTTGCAGCAATGCTGAGACAGTGTGTCATGGTGGACATATGTGTGGGAGCAGAGCTGCTCACGCAGTAGCTAGAAGTCAAAAGAGAGGAAGAAGAATATGAAGAGGAGGGTTTCCACTCTCCTTTCAAGAGCCTACCCTGGTACCCTGAAAAGCACCACTGTATTCTCCTTCTAAAGGGCTGTGTTACTGCCTCATCATAAATTTGGTGCCAGTTTTCTTATGTATGGGCCTTTGGGGAAGATTCCAGGTCCAAAGTCTAGGAGAACATCATCATAATTTTCATGAAGATACTAGCCTGAAGTGGCACATATATGTTTCCAAATGAGTGTTCATTAATAATTAGTAGATAAAAGTTAAATGACAACTAGCATTATAGACAAATCTTATTTTGTGTTTGCTAACAGCAGTACCTGTGATTCAGAATACAGTGTAGACGTCTCTGTAATAATAAACCTTACTTACCCACAGGAGATAGCCCAAAACTCTAGTTTGATAGAGTTTTTTGTTTTGTTTTCATTTGTTTTCAAATGCTTCTCAGATTTACGACCTTCTTTTTATGCAGTTAATTTTTTTCTTCTATCAACTTTAATGCCATTTATGTGATAAAGAGTTGAGTGCCTACTCTGTGTTATGATGTTTATTGCTGAGGAAGAGAGATATTGAGGCCGTACTGTCATAAACTGTCCATCAAACTTGAAGCTAATTGGTTTTATTTATTCACAAGTGTTTTTGAAAAAAGGAAATATCTGAACACTTAAGAATTTTTTCAAATTCCTGTATCCTTCTCTGACTTAGGGAATTGGTAGGGGGCCTTCCCTGGAAATCTCCTTCATCCGGTTACTGTTTTATTCACCACCATCCTCAGCTGTGGGAACACTCTCAAAGGCTTCCAACTACCTCCCCATCCTACTTTCTTCTACATGCAGGATTTCTTTTGTTCTCTCATCTAATGGTCACCAAACATAACAAAGAGCTGGGAAAGCTGCATTTTGGATCTATCTTTAGAATACCCTCTCCACGGGCAAAGCCTTTGGATTAATACCTCCTAAATGTGGTGTGTACTAACACATTCTGAAGCAATATTTCTAGACAAGGAAAGGAATAGCAAGCAAATAATTTTGAACGTCAAATAACACCAAAGAAGATGAAATCTGCAATGATATGTTTTGTCTTTTAGTTTCTGAGTGCTGTGCTTGCCTAGAAAAGTGGATTGGATATCAGTGCAACTGTTACTTCATTTCCAAAGAAGCAAATTCTTGGGAAGGAAGCAGAGATTTCTGTGCCTCTCAGAATTCCAGTCTTCTTCAGCTCAGAAACAGAAATGAATTGGCAAGTTCTTCATTCTTGTTTCTTACATTATTTTTCACCCGCTAGCATGTTGCTACCTGACTAGAGTGATCCCTCCCATCTAAGTCTTTATTACCAGGCAGACAATGATAATTCTGTCTGAGCTCATGACCCTCAGTCCAATTGACCTTAAGACATTTCCTAGAAAGCCTACAAAAATGTCTTCAAAGGTTTGCATTATAGAGACAAATATTTTAATAGATTAGGAGCTAATGTGTAAAACCCCCAACTTTTCCAGATTAGTAGGCTACTTTTTTTTTTTTTAACAGTGCCAAAAGAACCAGCAGAGGGACATTTAATTAGTATTTACTGAAGCAGAATACACAACATTTTGCGTATGTTATATGGCTTTTTGCCACCTTTCTGGGATGTAATTAGAACCAGCAGTGAATCATACATTTATAAATTACGTACATTGTTATTGTTGTTATTGTGTGTGTCTCAGAGGATTGAACTGAGGCACTGAGGCACACCAGGCAAGCACTCTAGCATTGTGCTATATATATGCCCAAGCTTAAAAAATTTTTTTCCTATGTGCTTTGAGACAGAGGCAGGTATCCCTGGCTTTCCTGTAAAGTCCCTCTATAGTCAAACGGAATGAAGCTCTGCTTTAGCCTCCTAAGCGCTGGGGATTACAGGCCCGCACCCCCGGGACTCATCTTGGAAATCACTCAGTTCTTATGAAGAAATTCTCAAGCTGTCTGTGCCCTGCTCAGTTGGGAGAGCTGGGGTTGCGTTTGATCGTTGACCTCACGAAGGAACTGTAACACAGAATGAACATCTCTTTCTCTTTTTGACAATTTTCATCCTTCAAGAAGCAAGATTTTGTAGTGTTTCTCCACATGAGTGAATGGGCCTAGTAACGGAGGAACTTGAGGCGTGACTATGCCTCTCAAATCAGAAGTTCAAAATGATTTCAACCCGAGCACCCACACTCTGAATCTTACTCTGAATGCCTTTTATGTATGTTGCTCTCTGAGAACACTCAGATTTGCTTAACTTGTTCTTTCTGTCTCTAAGCAGAGTTTTATGAACTTCAGTCAAGTCTTTTTCTGGATTGGAATGCGTTACAGTGAGGAATGGAATGCCTGGCGGTGGGAGGATGGCTCAGTTCCCTCAGAAGAGCTGTAAGTTTCTGGCCACTGAGGATTTGGGGGCACTTTTGTGATTTTATTCTAGCTAAGATTATTTAAAAAAAAAAATCACAGCCAAGGGCTCAGAAATTCAACTGTCCTTCATGGAGCATGAGAATATGTAAAAACCCAAAGGAACAACAGGACAGCAGTCATTTCTCTCTACCTGTAACATTCACATTCATGCTCAAGTGACATGAAAGCTGTGTACCTGAAGCCGTCAGAGAATTCTAGTCTTTTCCTTCCTGTAACGTGTGTCTATGCTTGCTTACATGTTCTCAGATATCGACAGGCCTGGAGAACACAGCATGGCCGTTTGTGTTGCTGTTCTGGTGGATCTCACTCTTTTTTTTTTTTTTTTTTTTTTTAACATCTTCAGATATTCAGCAGTTATTTTCTGTATAATTGTTTATCCTTGGATCTCATTCTCACCAGCAAGCATGAAATCTAGAGAGTCATACCATAACTATGTTTACGCTCTTTTCCCCCTAGATTAGACAAACTCATATGTATGTATATATATATATATATATATATATATATATATATATATATATATATACATATATATGTATATATACATTTTTTCTTTCATACATTGTAACCTGATTATGGTCTTCCTTCCCTCAACTCCTTCCAGACTCTTATCCCCACCCTCACGCACCCCCAAATTTTATTCCTACCACATCAAGAGCAGGCCCCATGCCGAGAAGTAGCTGACCAACACAAAACAGGTTCAATGGTATTTTTGGAGTTTTGTTGTTGTTGCTTGCTTCATAATGCTTGATCAGGACCCTTTTTTTCTAAAGCTTTTTTTTGTTTGTTTGTTTATTTATATGTTTTCCAACTTTGTTTTTGTGTAGTTTCTCTGTATGTTGATAGGTATGTTGCAGAGTCCATATGTGTTTCCTGGGCTTTTCCTTTGGTTCTTTTTTCTGTTTGTTTGTTTTTCCCAGCTTCTACTTCTTAACCAAGTAGAAGACCAGCATATCATCAAAACAATTTCCGGCAGCATTGTGGTAGATACCTTAATCCCAGCGCTGGACATGCAGAGGCAGGAATATTTCTTTGAGTTCAAGGTTGGCCTGATCTACATAGTGAGTTGCAAATCAGCTAAGGCTGCATACCGAGACCTTTTCTCAAAAAACAAAACTAACAACCCAACCATTTCTGATAGAGGAGGAAAACCCACAAGTAACCAAATAACAAAACCATATCTACAATCACACACTCTGGTCATAGTGCTAGGGGCCAGTGAGGAAGTGACTGGGTTTTATGTACTTTTAGAACTGTGAATATTGTTGAAAGATGACAAAACAAGACCAAACAAATAGACCTCAAACCACTCAGTTAGTAAATCTCTCACTCAAATATTTTCCACATTCTGAGCTAATAAAAATAACCTTAAACATCCTTACTCTTTCCTAAATGTTAACATTTTCTTCCTCATTACAGATTTCCAGAGCCCTTAAACACCAAGGCAAGGGGCTGTGCTGTTCATAGTCCAGGCAAATTGGTTTCGACCGAATCCTGTAAAAGTAAAATCCGTTATATCTGTAAGCAAAGGCCTATTTCAATGTTTCTTAAAGCAGAAGGAATAAACAAGAAAGGTCCAGTATAGCTACACCCATCTGACAACATCACCAGCTTTCCATCTTGAATCTGTAGAATGTTTCTGTTGGCTCTCATACAGTTTTCATACATTTGAACGCAAGCATTTTATGCTTGATGAGTTTTTCACATCTGTGCACAAAATTAGGATGAATCAAACTAAAGAGTTTTTATGAATATTTTGATTTATGAAATATAATTTTATTTACATATTCTTGTACAGTATTTTGAAATATTAAATAAAATTTATTCCAAACAAAGTCATATGCATCCATGTGGTTTCAGGGTTTGTACTGTAACTGAATTGAACTTGGAGATGGATTTGAGGGATATAATCACTTTATAACATTAATTCTAATCAAGCAGGAGATGGGAGGCAGGTCTTTTCATCTTCTAGTATCTTCTTCATGTTCTCTTCAGCATTTTAAGGTTTGCATTTTTGAAGTCTTACATAACCTCAGTCAGCTTCATTCCACATTGTTCCTTTTTAATTTTTTAAAATTTTTATCATTTATTACAATTTATTCAATTTGTATCCTGGCTGTGACCCCCTCCTTCATCTCCACCCAATCCTACCCTCTCTCCCTCTTCTCCTCCCTATGCCCGTCCCCAAGTCCACTGATAGGGGAGGTCCTCCTTCCCTTCTATTTGACCCTAGCCTATCAGGTCTCATCAGGACTGGTTGCATTGTCTTCCTCTGTGGATCCTCTGGTTCATGTGTGGATATGAACCAGACCTAAGATATGACTAAAATCAAGTATAATAGGTAAAATCTGAATGGAAGGAAGCTATGAGGGCTTGGAGGTTTAGAATGGAATAACTATTGCCCAGCTCTAAGTTAATTAAATAAATAAAAAAGAATTTTCAATAGAGGAAAATCAAATGGCAGAGAAACATTCAGCATCCTTAGTCATCAGGGAGATGCAAATCAAAACAACCTTGAGATTTTACCTTAGACCCATCAGAATGGCTAAGATAAAAAACTCAAGTGACAATACATGCTGGAGAGGATGTGGAGAAAGGGAACTCTCATCCATTGCTGGTGGGAATGTAAACTTGTACAACCACTTTGGAAATTAATCTGGCACTTTTTCAGAAAATTAGGAATATTGCTACCTCAAAATCCAGCTATATCACTCCTAGGCATATATCCAAAATATGCTCAAGTATACAACAAGGACATTTGCTCAACCATGTTCGTAGCAACTCTATTTGTAATAGCCAGAAGCTGGAAACAACCTAGATGTCCCTCAACTGAGGAATGCATACAGAAATTTTGGTACATTTACACAACGGAATACTTCTCAGCTATTACAAACAAGTTACTGTTCTTGTTCTTCTTCTTTTCCTTTTTTAGCTATTGTGGGTAGATTTTTCCTGAGTTTCCTTGCCAAGCATTCTTTATAAATATTCAAAAAAGCTACCAACTCTTTTGTTGATAGTGTGCCATGCTATATGCTGAAAGTGTTTCTCACACTTGCATGCCAGAAGAGGGCACCAGATCTCACTATAGATGGTTATGAGCCACCATGTGGTTGCTGGGAATTGAACTCAGGACCTCTGGAGGAGCAGCCAGTTCTCATATCTTCTGAGCCATGTCTCCAGCCCCCGTTTAGAATCTTTTAAACATAGAAATATATCATCTGCAGATGGACATGGTTTGATTTATTTCTTTTTTAAGCATATATTTATTTTTTTGTTTTCCCTGACCTATCTCTATGACTTCAAGCTCTATATTAAATAGTAAAGACCCATGTCCTATTCCTGATTTTAAAGTAAACAATGTCATTTTATTTCCACTTAATGTCATTTTGATGGTAAGTTTGTCAGGTATTAAGACATGTATTATACCAAAGTGTGCTCAGGATATTTCTAGGGTTTGTACTACTATGGGAAGTTGAACTTTGTCAAAGGTCTTTTCTATACCTATACAATTGAGAACAGTCCAAAAAATAACCCGTGAAAAATGATAGACAACTTGATTTCAGTATGTGTTTGCTCTGAAAGCTCAAAACTTAGCGAAGTATGTGTTGGAACCAACTTGTAAGATCCACTCCAATGCAGCATTGAGTCATTTTCTTTCACCTGTTATCCACGTTAATAACTATAGCAAAGACCCTGAACAGAAAGGAGAGTTTACTACTTCTAAGACTAGGTCATGAGGCACTTTTTTTCTTTATCTCCTTAGCTGATCGGAGGGAGCCCAGTTACAGTACCATTACCAGCCCTGTTGATCAGACTGTGCAGTGAAGAAAGACTTGAGGGCAGTCTGCAGTGACTGATGTCTGTTTTCGTCATCTATGTTATAAGCAGCAAGGACTCTGTAGCCCAAGTGAAGCTTTCAAAAGATCCTAGCCCATTAGGGTCTTGGTGACAACCCATCCCTTGGGCACTTCCAGTAGGGCCTGGAAAATAGAACAGGTATTAATTCCCTTCACACCTCGTTAGCATGATTTCGGTAGTGTCAGCCAAATATGACTTGGCTAGAATAAGTGCCTGTAAAGGTATAAACAGAAAAGTGACAGCGTTTACATCACATCTAAACAATCATAGTCAGTGACAGGACTAACCTCGACAAGATACTTCAGCAAATTAGCAGATTAATTTAATAAAATTAATAATATGTCCAAACCAAATAGCATTGACTCACACACATAGCAACCAGTTAAAGAGACATAATAGATGAAAAGCCTCACAGAAATGAATAATACAAATAATTCAGAAATAAATTTTAAAAAGTGATTAGAAACATTAAAAAACATTTATGAATGATGGAAAAATAGACAAGAATATAAAGGCATTTGGTTTTTTTTGTACCTTTCTTATTAACTTAAAAAAATGAGTGGTTCCCTTTAGAAACCTAAAGGTGCATTCGGTTGATCTGAGCAATTTGACAGAGATAGTATATAAAAACAGCCTCAGTGAATAAGTAGACTGAGAAAGTTCATCCACGATAAAAATCACATCTACTAAGTATAGGCATGCATTTGTAAGTATTAAAACAGGTAGTCCTGTTTGCCCTTCTTAGTGAGGTTTCAGCTTCTTCCCTAAGGTCCTCTTTGTTGTTTAGCTTCTTTAGGACTATAGATTTTAGTATGTTTATCCTATATTATAGGGCTAATATCTGCTTATAAGTGAGTATATACCATGTGTGTCTTCCTGTTTCTGGGTTACGTCACGCAGGATGATTTTTTTTTCTAGTTCCATCCATTTGCCTGCAAATTTCATGATTTCCTTGTTTTTAATTGCTGAGTCTTATTCCATTGTGTAAATGTACCACAATTTCTGTATCCATTCTTCAGTTGAGGGACATCTAGGTAGTTTCCAGATTCTGCCTATTATGAATAAAGCTGCTATGCACATAGTTGAACAAATGTCCTTGTTGAACGGTTTAGCATCTTTCAGATATATGCCTAGGAGTGGTATAGCTGGATCTCCAGGAAGCGCTTTTCCTAATTTTCTGAGAAAGTGCCAGATTGATTTCCAAAGTGGTTGTACAGGTTTACATTCCCACCAGCAATGGAGGAGTTTCCCTTTCTCCACAACTTCTCCAGAATGTACTGTCACTTGAGTTTTTCATCTTAACCATTCTGATAGGTGTAAGGTGAAATCTCAAGGTTGTTTTGATTTGCATATCCCTGATGGCTAAGGATGTTGAGCATTTCTTTAAGTGTTTCTCTGATATTCTATATTCCTCTACAGAGAATTCTCTGTTTAGCTCTTTTAAATAGGATAGACATCAGAAGTAGTATAAGACAAGGAACAGGACAGGAGCTTTCCACAGGGGGCCTCTGAAAGACTCTACCCATCAGGGTATCAAAGGATATACTGAGACTTGTGACCAAACTTTGAGCAGAGTGTAGGAAAACTCATGGAAGAAGAAGGAGATAGAAAGACCTGGAGTGGACAGGAACTCCACAAGGAGAGCCCAAAAACCTGGGCCCAAGGGGTCCTGCAGAGACTGATACTCCAACCAAGAACCATGCATGGAGAGGACCTAGACCCTCTGCTCAGTTTCCAAGTGGGTTCCCTAGTACGGCAGGCAGGGACTGTCTCTGACATGAACTTAGTTCCAGGCTCTTTGATCACCTCCACCTGGGGGGGTGCAGCCTTGCCAGGCCACAGAGGAAGATGATGCAGCCAGCCCTGATGAGACTTGATAGTCTAGGGTCAGATAGAAGTGGAGGAGGACCTCCCCTATCAGTGGACTAGGGAAAGGACATAGTGGGGGGAGAAGAGGGTGGGTGGGTGGACTAGGAGAAGATCGAGGGAGTCACAGCTAGGATACAAAGTGAATAAATTGTAATAACTAACTAACAAACAAACTAAATAAATATTAAAAAAATAGAACAGATAGACCGAAGGTAGAGAGCCTAAAAGTGTCCCAAATAGTCTCAACTTCTTATACAACAAAGCTGTGTAGCTGTGTATATTACTATATAAAGAAACTTTAACAGTGTTGGCTCTTCCAGTCCATGAACAAAGGTTCTCTATCCCTTTATTATGTTGATCTTTTCTCATAGAACACCTTTTTCGGTTTTGGCAGAAATGACTTACTTTTATTAGACTCTTTCTTAAGCAGCTGACAGTTTTTGAGATAACGGAAAATAGACTTCATATGCCAACACAAGGCTGAAAGACACCCTTTTTCTCAGCTTATTGAGGCATAATTTATACGCACCAAAAGGGGATAGAGGTAAAAGCTGCATTTGGCCTCTTTACATATTCATGTATCCATTAAATCACCAATAAGATAATAACTGTACTTCATACTACAAATGTTTATATGTTCTTAGCGTTCTATGGATGATGGCCTTATGGAAATTCAGTTTCAACTTCATATACCTGGGGGTAGAGAAAGTTAGTTGTAAGACTGATGAGCCAGTTGGTTGACCATGGTTTTCATAGCTCAGTTATCAAAGCCCGTTCCATGTTTATGGAGTTCACAGGTATTTTCTGTACCTTTGTCTGGTCACACACTGAACTAAGAGACTGTTGCCAGCTGTCTCCTTTCTGATACTATCCCTCTTTTCCATACTGGCTATTCCTTCTCCTAGCTTGTGCAGAAATGTCTCTGACATCAGAACACCATGTGTCATTTCTCTTCTGAGATTACAATGGTACTAATCTTAGG